ATCCCAACTCCCGCTTCCCCATCTTCCGCCAACAAACCTTCCGCCCCTCTTCCCCCAGTCCTCCCCTCTCTGCGCCCCCCCATTCGAGCGCACGCGATCCGCCGAGGCGATGAATAGAAGCCGCGCGGGGTTCCGTGAATTACGGCAGAGCTGTCGAGATCGACGCGCGGTCCGGGCTATGAGGGTGAGTGGAGCGTTAGCGTTCAATGCGGGGAGGTAGGAAACGGCGAATGGCCGCACGCCACGTGTCGAAATGTCCTGACCACCCGCCGACCATGGGGAGAGGGGCTGGAGGCGGAAAAGATCCGCGCCGGATGCGGGCATCTCGCGCGCGCGTTTGCGGAATCGAAGGGGGCAGCTTCCGCCGTCACGCGGAGGACAGCGTTGAATTCGGCGAGTGCACGACCTCCGCAAACGGCTATCCTAATTGTCAACGTTAACCTTGTACAATCAGGTTTCTCTTTCTTCGCGCCAATGCCTTCCTTTACGCAACGCGCAAGCGTGAGGTATGGGGTGCTCTAAGAGTGTTGTCTCCCATGTCTGTGCGCGCGTAACGCGCAAGCACACGCAAGTAACGCGCAAGCAACCGCTTGGTGAAGAGCGCGACGGTGAGACGCATCCGCCGTTCGGCCAGCGCTGTTGTTCCGAATGATTCGTTTTAGCGATATGCGCGATTGTTAACAGACTGACATTCTTTTGTTTTGAATACAACAAATGTGTGAATGAGTGATATCTCGTTCACCCTTTCCACTCTGTAATGCAAACAGGGGTGTGAATGAATTCTTACATTTTAGACACACCGTACACGCGGTGTATCATTTCAGTTAGAAAACCACTTGTACATCCTATCATACCAGCGTACATTTTCATGGTGCTCCTTGCACTCTAGATATATTCTAATGTAGCTCGCAAGCGGTCCCGTAAATCCCCGGCGGAAGAAGAACGTATCCCATGCTTGTTGTAACTCTGGGCTCAAAAGACTGGTCGAATTGGAAAAGGATGTGGCAGAGAGGGATATGAGAAACAGACGAGTAAAGATGGGGATTGGGAGAGGAAGAGTAAACATACAATAGAAAAAAGGTACCTTGCGGTTGCGGTCTCAGAGGGGAAATGGATGGGAATGAAGTGCTGTGCCTCCAGCCAGTGGGAATGAAGGGCCAGTTGCTGCGAGCTCAAAGCACCAACTTATAATGTTCAGGACATCAAAGCAACTCACTGATGCGGCTGCCCATAGGACGGTATACGCCCTGCTGGAGCCTCGAAATCTGCTGATTCCACTCGGAGGATCTTCCAGTGGTAGTGTCCCAACATCAACCAGTGACTATCGAGGCAAGTCAAGAAGACACCAACAATTGAGACAAGTGGGAGGTTGGAGACTCACTGATGCGGCTGCCCGTAGGATGGTACGCGCCCAGGAGGAGCCTCGGGATCTGCTGATTCCACTCACAGGATCTTCCAGTGGTAGTGCCCCAGCACCAGGCAGTCACTCTTTAGGCGAGTCAAGAAGCCAAGACACCGACGATTGAGACAAGTGGGAGGTTGGAGACTCACTGATGCGGCTGCCCGTAGGACGGTATGCGCCCAGGAGGAGCCTCGGGCTCTGCTGATTCCACCCGCAGAATCTTCCAGTGGTAGTGTCCCAGGACCAGGCAGTCAACCGTTATCATTGGGCATTGCTCCACAGGCTCCACCTCCACCCTTTCCTCATGCGTTCCCCCTTCCTCATGTGCCCTTGTTTTCCTCCCTGCTGCTGATGTTGCTTCTTCTGTTCCTGCTGCCAACACTGGTTGCTGCTGCTCAAGCCTAGATGGAGGGCGTGGCTTCTGTGACTCGTCAAGCGTACGGGAGTGCAGGGTTCGATTCCGGCTGCTGCGCATGGCCTTGAGGCTGCAGATGCTCACTCGCACGTGGATGGGCGTCAGATTGAAGCCCTGGTTCGTTTGCCACTGAATGGTGGGGAGGGGTTGCAGGCATAACGAGAGGATAAAGGCAAATCTGTGAATAGGGGACAAAGTTGCTCACTAGCACGTGGATGGGCCTCAGATTGAAGCCCTGGTTCGTTTGCCACTGAACAATCAATTGGCAGATAACATGAAAGAAATCAAAAAGAGAAATTCAAGTCATTTTAGAATCTAGTGCAGAGTTGGAATTCTTTAAGATTCAGGTATCCGTATGCTGACCACAAAGAAAAGCGAGCAGACGACACGGACCGAATGGTTCCAAAAAAATGGCCCCAAAACCAAGGAAAATAGAAGCTTAAGACAGCAGATCCGGAGTCAACAGCTGAGGTGAGAGGAAGGAGAAGCTACAGATGAAGAGGTGAGGCAGGGGCTGATATAGGCGCACCGCAATCTCTGTGCGTTCATCTGTGTCCATGCCCTCCATAAGCTTCTCCTTCCGCTGCCCTTCCCGGTAACCAAAAACAGCAGCTTCAACTTTTGCATAGATAGGCAATCACGAGCGCACCTCAATCTCTGTCCATTCATCCGTATCCATGCCCTCTGTAAGCTTCTCCTTCCACTTTCTGTGATCGGATCTTCCTTTTAATAAGGCAAAAGAATTCCCACCAACGCACCTCAATCTCTGTGCGTTCATCCGTGTCCATGCCCTCCATAAGCTTCTCCTTCCACTGCCCCGATACCAAATCTTTCATTTTAACGCCCTCCACCCTCCCCCGCTTCTGCCACCTTCTCCTCTTCCTCTCCTCCTCACTCAACCCCCTCACTGCCCCCTCCCCATCCCCTTCCTCTTCCTCCACCTCCTCTGCGTCGCCTCTCAGCTCCTTCTCCTCCACAAACCTTGCAGTCAGCAGCATGTCCTCTCCGTCCTCCTCGCTCTCTCTCCTCAGAGTCAGCAGCATCTGATGCCCGCTGGGCTCCAATCTAAACTTGGACGGAGGAGGCTCCAGCAGAGGCTGGGATTTGCGTGGTGGACAAGGGAGGGGGGTATGGAAAAATGAGTTCTCCTCGCTCTCTCTCCTCAGCGTCAGCAGCATCTGATGCCCGCTGGGCTCCAATCTAAACTTGGACGGAGGAGGCTCCAGCAGAGGCTGAGGGTATTGTATCGGGAGACACTTCAGGGGGAAGGAAAGGGGGGGAGAGAGGGAGGCGAACAGAGTCGACTGAAGAACTTACAACTTCACCATCTTCCTCCTCGTTCTCTCTTCTCAGCGTCAGCAGCATCTGATGTCCGCTGGGCTCCAGTCTAAACTTGGACGGATTAGGCTCCAGCAGAGGCTGGGGTTTGGGTGATGCCAAAGGGAGGGGTATGGAAAATTAGGCTCTCTTTCCTTCCTCGCCTTCCTCTACACCGTACGGCAAACCTGTAGACGAGGCTCGCCATGAGGCTCGGCATGAAGTTCGGAACTGAGCTGGCTTGCCGTACCTCGGGCATGACGCTCGGGTACTCGACGTCCCACGCCAGCTGCCTCTCGAAGCACTCGCGAAACTTCTCATTCGACCCTGGCGGGAACGTCGAATACGGCACCTCAATTTCCCCCTCCTTCACGCGTCTCCTCCAATCCCTCCGCGCTGCCGGATTCCCCTGTTCCTGCTGTGCGGGTTCAGACCTCCCCCAGGTCCGCCGTCCTCCTGCCGCATTCGCCCCGCCTTGCCATCCCAAGTGCCCCCTACCCCGTTCTGCTCCCGCCCTGGCGCGTTCTTGCCAACCCCACTCCCCCGAATCTTCCCGCCCAGCTGATTCACCCCGCTCGTTTCGCGGAGTGTTCCCCCTGCCCCCCGATTCTCCTATCCGCGCACCCCTCTCACTGTCCACCCGTTCTCCTGTCCCTGGGCCCCAACGCCTTTGCTCCTGTTTTCCTGATGTGGCGCGGTCTGGATCTCCCGGGCCGCGTGCCTCGCTCGCGACTCCGCTCCCCACGCCTGTTGTTGCGCCTTTGGTCCGTTCGTCGCCGTTCGGATCGCGCAATGGGCGGTTCAGTGCTCCGTCATTGCCGCGTTCAGCGCCTCTCAAACTGTCGCTTCCGCTGTTACCTGTCGCGATACCACTAAAGTTGCTAGTGGAATGAATTGAGCAGGATTGAGACGCCAGGAGACGCGCTAAAAGCTGATCGTCGCATGGTTGTAGCGCTGTCCGTGATTTGCGGCAAAAAACGCGGAGCATGACGGCAGCGATGGACATCCGTTGGGGCTCCGTGAAAGGAGGTGATAGGGGTGAACGGAACCTGAGAGAAAGGTTCAGCGAAAGGATTTGAACTTTCGTGAATCTCACTCTTGGTTGAGACGAGCTCGACGAGATTCAGACATTCTGATTACTTGTAACCAGTTCTACAATGTGGTTGTTGGAGGGTGAACGCAGCCTCTGCTCCTGTCCCTTCTGGCTTCTGATTGGCCGGATGACGGAAGGTTCGGTTGGTGGATGGCTTGCGAACTGTTCGGGTTCGTCGTCAGCTCGTTGGCACTCAGTCGCCAACCTCGAAATTGGCTCGCTGGATGTCGCTCCTCGAGATTGTCGCAAACCATCTCAGAACGGCAATCTTGAGGCAGGCAGGCACACAACACCCGTTCAGCCAGGTACAGCCCCTCCCATTCCCACAGGAACAAATTAGACCTATCTTCTTTCCAAGGTTCAGGGGCGTGCCGCGGCCCTTGAGCCTCAGTCTATTGCTCAAGGCAACAAGACTGCAAGCTCGTCACATCCTTAATCTACGGTATCGGCTTGGCTACTCTATTTATTCCTTCTTTTTTCTTCCGCCGAAAGCTTCTAGACATTGCGCATTACTTCCGCGCTGTGCCATCATGAGAGCATCAAATCCGTTATGGCCGCTGCTTTTAGCAGCAGCCATTCTTGTCAGTAGCGCGTACGCTCAAGCCCAACCAGATGCGTCCCTTAGTGCCACGTTAGCAGCCGCACCTGCCAGCGCAGCCGCACCCGCTCCCGCTCCCAGCTCCGTCGCAGAGCCTTTCCTTCCAGCTACCGGCGATCTCCCCGCTACCAGCGATCTCCCCGCGGATTTCGGAGCTCTGCCGGCGGCCGACGCCATGCGTCAGTCGATAATCGGCGGACCGGCAGATCTAACCGCCGTTAGCCGAAAGAACTGCTCGCTGTCCGTTCAGACGGATGTGGGAACCAACTGGGAGTTCGAGAACTGCTTATACCTTCAATCGGGCGGCGGATTCACCTTCCATGTAATCGCATTACCGTATAATCTAACCTGCTTGCTTTACTGAAAGCATTAGCACCTCGAGCCTTTCTTTCGTCTTTGTTTTTGTCAGGAATGTTATTACTTTCTTTAGAGTGATCGTTGCGCGCCATTTGCTAGCCTGTCCTCGTGATCGCTTTCCCCCGTCTGGCCGCTTGTATCAGGTGATACAATATATATTTTTCGTAAATCTCGCCGTTCCCGCGTCCCCTTGTTCAGTCCTCCCTAGTTTCTCTCCCCAGTCCAGTAGACATACCCCCCCCCCACGCATCCTGGACTGTCCAATCTTGGCAATCGGGGAGGGTTGGGCGAGCAGGGGTATAGACATGCTCCATTGAACTCCAATTTTTAATATGTGCTCTTTCCCCTCCTCCCGCTCCCCCTTCCCGTCGCTCCAGTGGACATACGATCGCCCCACCCGCATTCTCGACGGCGCGTTTTCCGCAGACTGGGAGGGGTGGGTGGGGTGGGGTATAGGCGTGCGCATGGTGGGGGCGAGCGCGCTCGTGGCGTTCCGCTCAAGCGAGACGGAGTACTACTTCTCCCAATACTACCTGGCGGACTATAACGCGAGTTTGATAAAGCCGGACACTGGGATCCTGGAGTTGGTTCCTAACAGCATCAAGGTGAGCGCGTGCTTCGAGGTCCAGGGCCAGTGGGACCAGTGTGAAGTCGACGGACTCGCTTAGTCAGGAGACAAGGAGTATTACTTCTCGCAATATGACCTGGCGGATTATAACGCGAGCCTGATCAAACCGGACACGAGCGAGCTGGAATTGATTCCCAACAGCATCAACATATGCACTTAAGGTCCGAGGTGGCGTGGCAATCAGGGTATTACTTCTCGCGCGGTACTACCTCGCGGACTATAATGCGAGCCTCATCAAGCCAGATACGTGCGAACTGGAATTGGTTACCGAGTGAGTGGCTAGAGGCGGGGTGTAAGAGACTCAAGCGAGACGGAGTATTACTTTTCGCAATACTACCTCGTGGATTACAACGCAAATCTGATCAAGCCAGATACGGGGGAGCTGGAACTGGTTCCCAATAGCATCAAGGTATGCAGTTAAGGTCCGAGGACTCACTGTGGTGGCGTGGCAGTCAGGGTATTATTTCTCTCAGTACTACCTGGTGGATTATAATGCGAGCCTGATCAAACTGGATACTGGGACCCTGGAATTGGTTCCCAACAGCATCAAGGTATGTGTGTGCTTAAGGTCTGAGGCCTCACTGCAGTGGCACTCTTGGCGTTCCGCTCAAGCGAGGCGGAGTATTACTTCTCGCGGTACTACCTCGCGGACTATAATGCGAGCCTGATCAAACCGGATACTGGGAACTTGGATTTGGTTCCCAACAGCATCAAGGTGAGTATTTACTTGAGGACTGGAGCCAGTGGTCCCGGCCTAGAGTCAGGTTCAGGGGACTCGCTCATTACCTGGCGGGCCACAATGCGAGGCTGATCAAACCGGATACCGCCAGGGATTTGGAATTGGTTCCCGACAGCATCAAGGCGAGCGGTGGGTTGGCTTGAGAGCTGGTCTCTGGTCTGGGTTGGGAGCGGAGAGTCAATGAGGGGAGGCGATTCGGGGCGGGGCACTACATGTCTGTTGCAGTACTACCTGGCTGACTATAGCCAATAATGCGACAACTCCCTTTTGAGAGTTCTCAAAACGCGAGCCTTTTCAAGCCGGATACCGGGTAACTTGACATGGTTGCTAACAGCAACAAGGTGAGTGAGTGGCTTGAGGTCAGGGTTGTTGCAGGTCAGCCATAGTCGCTAACACAGCAGCATCAAGGTGTGGTTTTTAATGCGTTTGGGGCTGTTTCTAAGATCTTTTCTAAGGTGTCGCTCTTTGAGCTCAAAACGCTCTGCTTCTTCCTCTTTCCACCCCCACCAGCTCAACCTCAACTTGTATCCTCAAAATTCCTGGAAACCATTCCCTTCCGTTTTTGTCCTCCTGGGAACCCCCCCCTTCTGCTCTTAAGGCGCCTCTGAATGGTCGGGAACCCTCCCCATTCCGCCTACCTGATCTCTGTGTAACTTCCATTCATTTTTGTTTTTAATTATTTTTTTTCCTGCTCTCCCTCACTTTTGAGGCACATTTGCCCCTCCAAAAAGCACTCCTTCCCTTCGTTTGTGCTCCTCCAACTGTCAGGTGCACATTTCACAGGGCCCCACAGTGAGTGCGAGAGATGTTCTATAATCCAGAAGGATGCATTTATGTGTTTCGTCAACCGACCTCCTTATATGTGTCACTTCCCCATCAGGTGCACATTCAATGTCCCACGGTGCGAGTGATGCTGCTCGATAAATGTATCCACATAGTTGTATACACCCCTCCAAAAGCTTCCCTATCATTTGTGCCGACCTTTCCATTCAGGTGCACATTCAAGGCGCTACAGTGCGAGTGATGTTTGCGGTGGTGCTACCGGAGGGGCAGACGCCAGGGCTGTATGTGATCATGGCCAAGGGCCAGGGGGGCAACGGTGACACGGGGGCTTTGGAGCCCCACAGCCCCTTCAACACCGCTCGAACTTACCTGCGCCTGGCAGGTGAGGGATTAAATCAGGGTCTAGGGTTTCAAATGATGTTGCCTGTGGTGCTGTTACCAGAAGGGCAGATGCCAGGGCTGTATGCCATCATGGCCAAGGGCCAGGGGGGCGACGGTGACAGGGGGGAGAGGGGAGGCGGGTGGTTGTAGTAGTACCGGGGGGGTTGATGCTCATGGTGGTGCTACTGGGGGGAGGGGCAGACGCCAGGGCTGTGTGTATGTCATAATGGCCAAGGGCCAGGGGGGCGACGGTGACACGGGGGCTTTGGACCTGTACCTGGCTGGTGAGACCTCAGGGGCTTGATTTGAGTTTTGAGTCGACTCAAAAACTCGACTCATTACACGCGGATTTTGAGTCGACTCAAAACTCGACTCATTACACGCGGACGCCAGGGGTGTATGTCATCATGGCCGAGGGCCAGGGGGGCGACGGTGACACGGGGGCTTTGGACCTGCACCTGGCTGGTGAGAGCTCAGGGGCTTGATTTTCAGGTTTCCAATACGGGGTTGAGGGGTGTCATGTGAGCGAGGGGTGTGATGTGAGCGAGGGGTGTGATGTGAGCGAGGGGTGTGATGTGAGCGAGGGGTGTGATGTGAGCGAGGGGCAGGTGAGATGAGGGTTTGGCTCCCAGCAGGGTTCGACTGATGTTGGCTGTGGTGGTGCACTGCTACTTCCCATCAGGATGCCCCAGTCTGATTCCCACCCCCGATCCTCCCTTCCTTGCTCTTTCTCAGGTACGGAACCCCCCAGTGGGTACAAGCAGCACACGGCCTGGTGAATCTCCTTGCCTGGGATCTGCTCCTCCCCATCGGCAGGCTGCTCATCCGCCACCTCCTCTTACCCACTTCCCTGGCTTTCGCCCCTCTGCTGTCTCCCCCCCTTGCTCTGCCTTTTGAGTAGACTCAAAAGTCAGCTCCTCTTACCCACTTCCCTGGCTTTCGCCCCCCTGCTGTCTCTCCCCCTTGCTCTGCCCCCACCCTCCCAGGTGCCGCCCCCCCCCAATGGCTGCAAGCAGCGCACGGTCTCGTGAACCTCCTTGCCTGGGGCCTCATCCTCCCCATCGGCATGCTACTCGCGCGCCATCTCCCATTATCAGTCCCAACCCTGTCTTACTGTTCCCCTCACTTTCTTACTCTCAGGCGCCGGACCCCCCCAGTGGTTGCAAGCAGCGCATGGTCTCGTCAACCTCCTCGCCTGGGGCCTCATTCTCCCCATCGGCATGCTACTCGCCCGCCATCTCCCATTCTCAGTCCCAACCATGTCTTACTGTTCCCCTCACTTTCTTACTCTCAGGCGCCGGACCCCCCCAGTGGTTGCAAGCAGCACATGGTTTGGTCAACCTCCTTGCCTGGGGCCTCATCCTCCCCATCGGCATGCTACTCGCCCGCCATCTCCCCCAACTCGACCCCTCCTCTTCCTCCTCCTCCTCCGCCTCCGCCTCCTCCGCCCCCTCCTCCGCCTTCCCCTTCCCCTCATCCTCCGTGGCTGTGGTAACCTCTGGCCCAGGGACTCCCTCCTGGGTGAAGCTGCATAGGATGGTGCAGGCGGGGGGGTATGCTTTGGGCGCGTTTGGCTTCTTCCTCGGGCTGCTCATGTGGGGGGACGCGCATGAGGGGCATGTGCGCCTGAGGGGCGTGGGGGGGGAGGAGGCGGGGGAGTTTGACCCGGGGGCGCACAGGCGGTACGGCATCACGCTCTTCATTCTCGCTTCCTTCCAGGTGGGTGTGTTGACTTGAGAAACCAAAAGCACTGTGTGCTGTAGGGTGGGTGACACCGGAGTGCATACATGCAAGTGTGATAAGTCGAGTTTTGAGTTGACTCAAAACTCGACTTACCAAAAGCACAGTGTGCTGTAGGGTGGATGACAACAAAGTGCATGCACAGGGGGTTACAGCTGTTTGTGCTCGCTTCGTTCCAGGTGGGTGTCTCGTGACCTGAGAAACCTAAAGTGTAGCACCAGAGAGGATAGCCGTAGGTTTCTCGGGTCACAAAACCTAAAGCTCAGCAACAGAGGGGAGGGGCTATCACAAAGCCAGCAGTAGTACAGCATTGCATCACCCTCTTCATGCCGGCATCGTTTCACAACTTTATTGAGGTGTGTGCTATGCTCTTTCGATAAGGATGTTCTGCTGCGCCCCTGGTGGAACCTGCTGCACCACTGGAACGGGCAGGTGGTGCTTCTGCGCTCCTGGTGCGCACATGGTGACTGCTCATGGGTCACAACTTTATTATGCAACCCTTCCCCTGTCTCAAGTGACTGCTCCCATGGTGATCCCCCACAAGGACGCCCTCCTTCGCCTCTGGTGGAACTTCCTGTACTACTGGAAAGGGCGGCTGGTGGTGCTGCAACATCCGTGTCTATTTTAGTCACAAGCTTAGAATCACATTTCATCTTTTCGCCTGGCCACTCCTTGCTTTGCGTTCAGGTGACTGCTCTCATGGTCATCCCCCACAAGGACGCCCTCCTGCGCCCCTGGTGGAACCTGCTGCACCACTGGAACGGACGCCTTGTGGTGCTGCTGGGAGTGATCAACGTGTGGCATGGCATCTCGCTGCTGCACCCGCACTCCATGGTATGCCATTACGTCACTCATGGTTGGTTGGAAGGGCAGCACATTGCACAACTTTTAGTGTTGCTGAGACTCACAGACAGCACAACTGTGTCCACTTGCTGCTGGGAGTGATCAATGTGCGGCATGGCATCTCGCTGCTGCACCCGCACTCCATGGTAACACCCTCTCCCTCCGGCATGGTCTCTCCACTCGGCGTTGCCTTTGGTTTGCTCCTTCCCTGCTCCATGGTATGTGTGGCATGGCATCTCGCTGCTGCACCCCCACTCCATGGTATGCCGTCACTCGTGGTTGGAATGGCAGCAGTGCCAGTGAAAAGGGAGAGAGTAACCTGTTAGTAATGGTAAGGGAGACCTCCTCCTCATCATCGCATCGCTCCTCGAGGCATTCACCCTCTGGGAGTGGCTCATGGACTGTGCCCCCTCCACCTGTTGCCCTCTCCCCCATTTGCCCCTGTCACTCTCCCTGTTGTCCCCCTCATCGACCAGGTGTGGTCTTTCCTGTACGGCATTCCCTTTGGCCTCCTCCTCATCATCGCATCGCTCCTCGAGGCCTTCACCCTCTGGAAGTGGCTCATGGACGATGCACCCACCACCGCCTTCCAGGTAACTTCCTACCCGCACCATATCCAACACCACTCCCTACATTGCCTCTTACAGAATCGTTCCTTGTTCCCACTTACTCCGATCTCAATCTTCATAAACAGCAGCTACATGCTTATGAGTTATTCGTCTGCCTTTTCTGTATCCCTACTAACCATGTATACGTCCTCTTTATAAGCAGCACTGGACACAGTTCATGCGCCACACATGCACACAACTGTACTGTACTCACCGACCTTCTTCCTGCCACTACCCAATTCCTCGTCCTCGTTATGAGCAGCGCTGGGTACAGTCTATGGTTCCGGCGCACATGCATCGCCGCTACATGTCGCTGCACCAGGGAGCCGAAGCCGAAGCTCCTGTGGATCTCAGCGATGGGGAGATCGAATTCATGGCTTCCAAATTCCGACAAGAGCTGGAATACAAATACATGTAGACAAAAGCGATTCTAGCGGAGTGGCAGACAAATGTTGCAGGAAGGGTAGAATATCACGAGTGGTAAATTTCGTGTGTAATAATCCTCCAAGGATAGGTGCAGAAATTGAGATTTCATGCATGAAAGCTTTAGTGGCCAGAAGTGATATCAGTTTGATAGGGAAATAAGTCCAGAATTTTCAGTGAGATCCTCTTGTTTCTACAATAGTCGACATTCATTTGCCCTACTGTAGCTATAACGAGTATAACGAACATTGTGCTAATTGCCATTCCCAGATTCCGTTACTCTTCGGCGCTCTCCTCGTGCTTCTTCTCGCCGTCTTTCGCGCTCCTTTGGAAGGTTGTTCCCCCCTATTCGTCAGCGCCCTTCCCCCGCCCCCATGCTGCAGCGCGCCGTTTCCGCTGCCGGGATCGCAACGCCTCTCCGCGCCCCTCTCCTTTCCGCTCCCCACCGCCAATTCCTCTCCCCGCGCTACTTTCCGGTCCGCCCACTCCGCCCAGCTTCCGCATCCGCGTTTCTTCCCGCTGCTCCAGGTACCGCGGGCCGCACTGCGCCTCGATTTCCGCCTTCCATCGCAGTCCATTCCACCCTCCTTTCGCACGCTCCCAGTCGCCGCCGGCCCGCCCATTCGGTCTCCGCCTCCGCGGCTTCCGCAGGTGAATCCATGGCGGAACCCGCGGCGGGAGCGGCGGGTGCGGCGGGCGCAGGGGTGGCGATGGAGGTGGAGGTGAAGCTGCGGCTGGCGAACAAGGAGGCGCACGCGCGCGTGGCGGAGCTCCTCTCGGCCAATCACCGCGTGACACATCAGCAGGAGAACGTGTTTTTCGACGGGGCGAACGGCGAGCTGTGAGTGGTGATTTTAACAAGTCTCAGTTGCGAACACGTCAGCCTTACAAGCACATCAGCATTACAAGCACATCAGCGTTACAAGCACACCAGCGTTACAAGCACATCAGCCTTGCAAGCACATCAGCCTCACGAGCACATCAGTGTTACAAGTACGCCTGCGGTTTCATAACTAAAAATCCAAGATATTTTACCTGAGCCGACTCAATAGGGGATATCCATTTCGCCCCCCCCGCCTCTCTTCGCTTGTTCCTCTCCGCCTCTCGCCCTCCCCCTCTCATGCAGGAGCCATAATCGCATTTGTGTTGCGGCTTCGCTTCTACAACAGTGGCCCATGCAGTCTTATTCTCCTCCGCTCTTCTTCCTCTCCACCTCTCTTTCCCTTATTTTCTCTCCTGCAGGAGCCGTAACCGCATTGTGTTGCGCCTTCGCTTCTACAACAGTGACAGCAAGTGCGTTGTGACTGTAAAGGGGAAGACTATTATGGCGGATGGCATTGGGCGCTCCACTGAGGTAAGCACGTTCAGTGTATCTGGACATGTCGCTTTTGAGAGTTCCCAAAAGCGTTCCACTGAGGTCTGTACGTTCAGTGTATCTGGACAAGTCTCACGTGGTCCTGAAAATGACAGAAAAGTGGGGGGTACAGCGCTTTCTGACTGTAAAGGGGAGGTCTATACTGGCGGATGGCATTGGGTGCAGCACTTAAATAAACAGGACCGCAGATTCAGTGTATCTGGACAGTTTGTATTGAGACCAGTGGATTCTTTCTCACTTATTCACTTCTCCCAGTCCCACTCTCTCCTCTTCCTCTATTTCATCTTTCTCTCCTTGGATCGCTCGCTGCAGCCTCTGTTCCATTCTTCTCTAACCCACCCCCCTTTCTCCTTCCTTCCATTCTTCCTTCCTTCCCGGCCGTGCCCCATGGCTTACGCACACCCATTCACAAGAGGAGGAGGACATTGATTCCGCCTTTGGCCGCGCATGTGTGAATCACCCCTCGTTGCAGCAACCCTCACAACTTCCTGAGCTCCTAAACACCCCCCCCCTCTTGGTGTCTCTCCCTCGCACGCTCATTCACAGGAGGAGGAGGACATCGAACCTGCCTTTGGCCGCGCATGTGTGGCGGACCCATCGTTGCTGCAATCCGCATCAACACCTCTTCTCTCCTCCCTGGTACGACTCACGACTCACGAGTTTCGCAAACCCCAGGTGTGTGAGTCCTCCGCACTGCTGGCATTTGAATGCCCCCCCATCTCCCTTTCCCACCCTTATCCCCTTCGCACCCTTTTCCCCTTCGCACCCTTTTTTCCCCTCCAACTCGCGAGTCCTCAATGCTGGCAATTGAATGCTCCTCCCCCTCGACCTCGAATCAACCTGCCTTTGGCCGGGCATGTGGGGCGGACCCATCGTAGCTGCAATCCGCATCCACACCTCTTCTCCCTCCCTTTTTTTTATTCTGAAAAGCTCTTCTTCTCTCCTCGCTAAACGACTCCAATGCATTGAGGGGTCCCTTCAAGCAAGGAAGACGGGAAGGTCTTGGGCCGGGAAAAGCGAGGGAAACGACCATGTGCCATTATCATGATCCTGTGTCACATCCTGCTCTCCTGCTCGTTTCTCCTGCCTGCAACTGGGGGGCTCTCTTCCTTCCTTCCTTCTCATCTCTCCCCCATCTCCCTTTCTCACCCTTTTCCCGTTCGCAGATCATTCATCTGTCCTTCTTCTCCTGACCACTGTTGGTGTGTCTCTGGTTCCTTGTGTAATGAGGTTATGTTTGAGACGTCTCAAAAAGAACCTCATTACACGCGCCTTCCCCTCCTTCCATCCTTTTCTCTCGCACTGACTGCCCGCCTTTTTTGAGACGTCTCAAAAAGAGCCTCATTACACGTGACCACTGTTGGTGTGTCTCTGGTTCCTTCTCATTCCCCCGTAACTCTCCTGCCCCCCCTTTTTTCCCCTCCAACCACCCACGCAGCCTGCTCGCTTCTCCTGCCCACAGTTTGTGTGTCTGGGGGGGTTCCGCAACACTAGGAGCGTGTTTGAGTGGCGGGGAAACACAATCGAGCTCGATGAGACTCAGGTGGGATGCGGTGATGCGCGGATGTGGGGAGGTTGAGTGCGGTGCAGATGGAATCACAGTGTGTTTGAGTGGGTGGGCAGCACGATCGAGCTGGATCAGACTCACTCAGGTGGGATGTGGTGATGTGCGAGTAGGGAGGGTCGAGTGTGGTGCAGATAAAAACCAGTATGTTTGAGTGGAGACCCATGTGGTATGCATACAACCCCAAAGGAAAGGAAGGCAAACAAACAAACGATGCGTCTCGATGAGGATTTGGTTACTTGTGTGTGCTCTTCAATAGAAAATCTCTGCATCCCTGTCCACTGGTCCTTCACAATATCCTTACTTCTGAGTCAACTCAAACGTACTTTGCAAAAACTTGCTTGCTTATGTGTTGTGCTCTCTATTAGAGAGTCTCTGCATCCTTTTCCCCTGTTCCTTCACAATGTCCTCTTCTTGTGCCGACAAAGTGTTTGCTTATGCGTTTCTCTCTGCACCCCTATCCATTGCTCCTCCACAATGTCCTCGTGCCCCCCATTATGCAGTTTCTTTTTTGATGCGCCTCGAAAATTAACTCATTGCACGCGGACTCGTCCACAATGCCCTGTTTTTCCCCCCTTGTGCAGTTTGTCAGGATGGCATGCTACCTATATGAGATCGAGGGCAACTCATACTCCTCCCCCTTTGACCAGCCATACAGACCAACTCTTATTAAACAAACTGGTTCTTGAGAGTTTTTTGAGGCGCCTCAAAAAAAGGGCACGCTACTTATATGAGATCAAGTGCGGGACCAGCCATCCAGAGCAACTCAATCATTAGGCAAACTGGTTCTTGAGAGTTCTCAGAACCCATCATGTTTCACCCTGGTTGCGCTCCTGCCCTCCCTCTGCAGTTTGCCTTTGGCACGCAATATGAGATCGAGTGCGAGACAAGTCAGCCCGAGCAACTCAAAGCAGAGCTGTAAGTTGGCCCCACGTCCCTCACTCCCATGGAAATGTTTTTTAAGGCGCCTCAAAAAGCCAGCTCTGCTTTGAGTTCAAAGCAGAGCTATAAGTTGGCCACACACATCCCTCACTCCCCACCCACCCACCCGCCCACCCACTTCCGACCAATCCTCCCTCCTCTTCCATTCTATCCTCCTATCGAGCCATTTTCTGAGTCGACAGAAAATACTTTTGGGGGACCCAAACCTTCGGCTTCTTCCTCCTCAACTCTGTCCCGTCCTCCTCCCTTCCATGTTGAGGTCACTTTCGAGAATTCTCACGGGTAACTTCAATATAGAATTCTCATCACTTACAAGCCACCCTCCTTACAAGCCACCCTCTTCTTCAACCCACCAGCTGCTCCCTATCCTTTCCTCCTCCCTTCCTAGGCACCAACAACCCCCCTCTTTCCCCCCACCCTGTCCTCTCCTCTTCCTCCATTCACCGTGTTGTGCTCCCCTTCCTGATGCCTGCAGGGGGGAATTTCTGCAAGAGCACAATGTGCCCTTCTCCAACAGCAGCAGCACAAAGTTTGGCATCTTTCGGGCAGGGAAACTGCCCGAATAAATGTGCTTCATTTCTTTTGTTTCTAACAGGGACCAGTCCTTTGTGACAGGACTCCAGCTCACCTGCTGGGATGATTTACTGGTATTCAGAAATGGAAAGCCTGGGTGCAGTAAATTTGTGCCTAATCCATGCTTAGTGCTACAAATATACACTTCATTGTGGGTACTTCACCGCATAACGGCTGTACGGGCCATGGCTGAATCCAGCCAGTAATTGGAAGCAAGCAGGCACTCCTAAACTTGCAGAAACGAGACAGTGAAACCGTTGAACTCGCGGCATGTGGGCGGCAGCTGCAGAGAATTCTCGCTCAGACAGTCCTGAAGCTCCGATGCAGTAACCGGCATCACATACACGTCCTCTGCATGGCCCTTGGCTCCCCATTCGTCTGCTTCACTGGTCAAACAGAATAGGAGGGGAGGGGACAGGAGAGGGCAATGCGACATGTTGCGTGCAGCAGACAGCCGCCACACTGCAAAGCAGTGCCCTTGCTCCCCACTCATCCACTGCAAAGCAGTGCCCAGCATCACACACACATCCTCTGTGTGACCCTTCGCTCCCCACTCATCGGCTTTCCTGTGGGATGAAAGATTTTAACAAGAGGGGAAGCGGGCGGAACAACAAGGAGAGAAACTCCAAAGCACTGACTTGACTGGCATCACATACACGTCGCCTGCATGGCCCTTGGCTGCCCAGCTGTCTGCTTTACTGCTCAAAACAGTAGAGAAGGGGAGGGAACAGGAGAGGGCAATGGGCAGTGTCAAATGCTGTGTACAGACAGTTCTGATGCTCCAATGCCATGGTGAATGCAGCTGACTGCATGGCAAAGCTTTTAGAGAATTCTAAAAAATCGCTCACAGTTGTGATGCTCCTTTGAGACGTCTCAAAGGTCGTCTACTTACACGCGGCTTCTAGAGAATTCTCAAAAATCGCTCACAGTTGTGATGCTCCAGTGCCAAGGTGAATGCAGATTACACAGCATCGCCTTGTGGCATCGCTGTCAGCAGCAACACTCGGCGTGGTGAAGCAACAGCCTTGCACATGAGCTTCACCACTCACCTGAAACCACCACTGAAGCTCCCTCCAATGAGAACCTTGAGCTCCGATTGTGAGGATCAACCCGTTGAGCCAACCACAAGTGAATGCTTCAGACGACTCGAGAATCGCCTCCGAATGCAATGCAATGCAACGCGACGCAACTCACCGTGTGGCATTGCTGTCAGCACCAACAGCCCTGCACATGAGCTTCACCACTCGCCTCAAGCCACCCCCCTTCTTTTCCTCCTCATTCCATTCCTTCTCCTTCCCTTCTTCCTCCTCCTCTTCATCCTTCCCAGCGTATAAACTCTTCTTTGAATCCTCCTCCTCCCGACCCTCCTCAGCGTGCCCACACACGCCCCACCCCACGGCCGTGTGAGCACTTAGCAGCACGAGCAGCAGCAGGGGGCGGTGGGAACAGACTGAGCGGAGCACCAGGCGGTTTGGGGCGGAGGGGGTGGCGAGATGGGCGGAGAGGAGAGAAGAGAAGCAAGCAGCGAGGGAAGGGAGGGCCTGCTTAATGGGGGGAGGGAGATGGGAAGGGATGGGATGGGGAGGCAATGGAAGAGCAGCAGGTGGGTTTGGTGAGAGCAAACTGAGCGGAGGACCAGATGGTTTGGAGCAGAGGGGGTGGCGAGATGGGCGGAGAGGAGAGAAGAGAAGCAGGCCAAGAGGGGAGGGGAGGGCCTGAAGTGAGAGAAGAAGATGGGAATGAAAGGGAAGAGGAGGCGCAGGAGCAACGCAGGAAGAGGGGTTTACTATGACTGCTGCATGAAGCGCTTTGGTCATTGGCAACGAGGAACACGAGAAGGACGAGAGCGCACAAGGAGAAGGACGGGGTGGTGCGAGCAGAGCAGAGGGAGCGGAGGCAAACGCAGGGGAGAAATAATGAGACGGGAGCAGTACAAGCGAAGGAAATTGTGTTACCATGTTACACTGACACCTGCAGCACCCTCGGCCACTGGGTTCTCCTCCTTCGGCCCAACCCCAGCCAATCTGTCTCTTGACCGTTCGACGACAGATTGGTCTGCCGCTGAAGCCGCACCAGCTGCTGCGACCACAGTGCCCTCCACTGATGACGTCACAGCATCCGCGGATGATGTCACGGCATCCGCTGATGACGTCATTGCATCCGCTGATGGCGTGATGGTGGGTTCCTCAGATAATGCACATGCATTCATTGCACCGAGCGGCCATGCGTCCACCCTGTGCAAGAACAGATGCTCCACACACTCAATCCTCCTTGCCTTGGATCCTCCTTGCCCTGCCAGTCCTCGCCTTACTCCCTCACTCCCTCCCTCACTCCCTCCCTCACTCCCTCCCTCACTCCCTCCCTCACTCCCTCCCTCACTCCCTCCCTCTCCCCGTACTCCTCCCTCCTCTCCTCCCTCCGCCCCTGCACTTCCACCCTCCTCCCCATTCGTCCGGGTCCCCAATGCTTCATTCTTACCGCTCCTGCCTCTGCCCCACGCCCCAACCACCCTGCCACATCCCCTGCATGTCACCTCCTCCCAGGGCCCTCCCTCCGGCACTAGATTAGGCACCAGCTGCTGTTCCTGTGCCCCATACTCCTCTGCTTTATGCCCGTCTGTCTGCTGTCTCCCTGCCATGCTTTCCCCTTGACTCGGTTGACTCGGTTGACCTGACTCGTGACTGCCTCGCAGGTCTGATTGTAGCGGAGATGCTTGTAGTGAATCTGCGCTGTCGAGAGCGAGTCTTTGCATATGAGAGGCAATGGCAGCAGTGCTGGCAACATGACCCTGACTCGGTTGACTTGGTTGGCCTGGTTGACTCGGTTGACTCTCTTGACTTGGATTATTCGGTTGACTATGTTGACTTGCTTCTTCACTTGACTTGGTTGACTCGGTTGACTCGGGGTGGGACGAGAGGAGGGCGAGGGAGGTGTGGGAGAGGAGGCAGGAGGAGGGGGAGAGGGAGCAGCGGAGGTGGAGGGAGTTGGCGACGTGCTGAGCGTGGGCAGCAGCATCAGCGCAGCACTCTGCCCCGCAGAACCACTGCTCTGCCATCTCGTCCACGTCCGGGGACGGCATGGGAGCGAATGAGCTGGTAAGGGAGGTGAGGTTGGGGGGGGGGGGGGGGGGGGGGGGGGGGGGGGGGGATGGGGTGATGGGGGAGAAGGGAGGGTCATGAGGGAAGAAGCAGCACTCCGCCCCGCAGAACCACTGCTCTGCCATCTCGTCCACATCGGGCGATGGCATGGGGTGGAATGAGCTGGTTATAAGAGAGATCGGGGGAGAGAGATGGGGTGAGTGAAGGGGAAGAAGGGAAGGTCATGAGGGAAGAAGCAGCACTCTGTCTGCCAGAAACATTGCTCTGCCATTTTGTCGACATCTAGAGAGCATCTGTGCGGAGATGGGGTGGAATGAGCTGAATGGATGCGGGAGAGGAAGGGGATGACGAGGGGTGAAGGGGAAATGATAAGAGAAAAAGTCATCTCGCGGGCAGCACCAGGTGAGGGCACAAGGGGCGAATGAGCTGAATTCAAAGCAAGTGGGGATGGAGGAAAGGGGAAGGGCGAGGGGACAGGATGTAAGATAGAACTGATGGCGAGTTGTAACAAATTGTTTTAGTGGATTGCTGATTCTTACGTAAGTGACTGCTGCCTCTTGCCTGAGTGAAATGCTGCCTTTTACCTGAGTGGACTGCTGCCACCCACTTACCTAAGTGGATTGCCAGTCAGCTGGTGGCGACAGTGACGGCAGTACAGATGGACTGGTGCCATGGCAGACAGGCAGGCGAGGAGAGAGGCTGTAAAGAGAACAAAAAAAGGGGGAATGGCGTGGGACGTGAGAAGGTGAATGGCGTGGGACGTGAGAAGGTGAATGGCGTGGGACGTGAGAAGGTGAATGGCGTGGGACGTGAGAAGGTGCTGTGCAGCTGCATCCGTGCCATGGGAGAGAGGCAGGAGAGGAGATGCGCTGTGAGGTGAACAAAATGGGTAAAACGCATTGAGGATGGAAAAGGTTGTGCACAGATTTGAGCAGATGATAGGTGAACTGGTGCCATGGGAGAGAGACAGGCAAGGAGATGCGCTGAAAGGGAGAAAAGGGAAAGCGAGATAAGGATAGAAGGGAGTAGGAGTAGATAAGTGCAGATCAACTGGTGCCATGGCTGCGAGGAGTCTCGCTGAGAGCGAACAGGCGAACGGAGTTGAGCCGAGGAAAGGGGAAAGGAATTTATGATTGCAGGGGGAAGGAGCTGATTTGAATGGGATGCATGAGTATCGGTGGCTCGTGGCAGCGAGGCAGATGGGCTGGAAGGCCGGATCAACAATCTCTGAGGCGCCTCAAAAGACAATCTTTGAGGCGCCTATTAAATGAGATGCGTGAGTACAGTACAGGTGGCTCGTGGCAGCAAGGAAGATGGGCAGATGGGCAGATGGGCTGGAAGGCTGGATGAACAATCCCACCAACGTTGGATAGATGGGTAAGGGTTTTTGGGTTCTGGGTGTTGTTCAGGGAGGGAGGGTTCAACGAGGCAATACGGAGCGAGGAAACATGAAGAAGACGAGGTGAAAAGTACTAAATGCTACTCACGCACGTGACCAGCCCTGAAGTCGGTAGCCACATTCCGGCTCTCCCCCAACCGCCCTCCACCGTTGCGCGCAGCCCCATTCCCCGCGCATCCCGAGGACTTCCCCCCCACGGTCTGCCAGAATCCATCGAGATCCGATCCGAGCAGCTGCTCCAGCGGAACGGTGACTTCGAGGTGACCCGCCCGCACGCTCACAGGCACGGTAACGAATCTCTTCGCCCGCTCGTTAGCGTCACCAAATGTGGTGGTTTCGAGATTCTTGCCATCTCCGCAGGGATTGACAGGCAGAGCAAAGGGAATGCCGATCGATAGCAGCGGCGTTCCAACCCTTTGGGAGACTTCTTCCGAAGCAAAACCTGCCCGATTATTCTGCCGAACCTGCTGACCGAGCGCAGCCGGTTCGGCATGCCGAGCCTGTTCGTCAGGTGAGTCAGAAGGAGGATTTTCAAGAAACATTTTGATCCGGACGCCATAATAACGTTCCGAGCCAGAGAAATGCGAATCTAAACCGTTTTCGGAGTCAACGCGGTTTCCGAAGTCAACGTGGTCTTTGAATGGTACTAAGCTTTCAAGATCCAGCCGTGCCGTGACGCCAGAGGAGACTAGATTCAGCCACTTCGCATCTTCCGCCGCCGGTCCCTCCTTAGGAGCATGGGACTCGCGTGGGAACACATAGAGACGAAGGACCCGGATGTGAGTCAACGCCTCAAACGCGTACACCCAGCGCATTGCCGCGTTACGACACGCAAAACCTGGACCACTAGCGCGCTTCGATGCTGGGAGGCATAAAACCCGCAGCAGGCGATTCAGTGACAGGAGCAGTTGAAATTGAATGAAACGGGTTGACGATCGCCCGAAATCGGCGCAAGTGAAGGGAGGCGTGTAAGAGATTTGACTCGTTCGGGGTTAGTGCTTGGTTTTGTGGTGGGTCTGGTGCAGTGGGAGAACGATCGGTTGAGAGGTTTGTGAGTGATGGATGACGATAGGCTTGCATGGTCCCTAGTCGGTTGGCGGACTTCGATCAGGCCTGGTTCCGGCTGGTCCGACTTCGTACATTTGGGGAATTGTTTCGCAAATGTCGTGGTTGCGTCGCTACCGTGTGGTTGAGGTAATTGTTGGCTTTCTGCGATAGATTGTTCGTGCACAACAATTGAATGCCTTTCGGTGGTGAGGTTGAACGGATTTCCTCCTGTAGAAAACTTTCGGTAGTTGCTTTTGCGCGGGGAACTTGTGGCACACGTTCAGGATTTAGGCTTGAAGTTTATCCCGACGACGGGCACGAGGAGAACTGCTGGCGAGGAAAATTCTTCCTGGCTTCACGCTGATGTGTCGCCTAGCCCGATGCCGTGTGCCTGCGGAGCAACCACGTTGCGGGAGGCGCACGTTTGGCATTGCGAATGCAATATTCATATCCCAGCACGCACTAGAGCCACCTCCCATGAATACAATCGCAGCAGCTCAGCCTGTTCCGTTCTTTTATAATAAACGCTCAGGCTCGTAGTTTACCGAAAGTCACAGCCAGCAGACGCCACATACGGGACTTCTTTTTTAGGTGTGCGGAGATGGAAGAAGATAGCCTGAAGGGGGGGTTGCTGTTTCTGAGGAGGAAGCTGCTATTGAGGAAGAAGTTGTTCCTTCTTCGCATGGAGCCTCATGAGAGCATCATGGAGTACATAAATAGGGCTATGCAATACGGCAGTGCGTTGAAGGCGATGGGTGCAGAAGAAACCGAGGAAGATTTGATATGCTGCATCATCTGTGGATTGCCGAAGGACTGGGAGACTGAGAGCATTGTCTTAAAGCCAGCAACTAAAATAGTGAACCCTGGGCCAGCTTGAAAAGTGTGTTGCGATAAGAATTTTTGAAGCGAAGCGAGAATGAAACAAGTCTGACAATGTGGGCAGAGTGAACTAATGTGATTGGCTTTCGCCAATCTGGGGATGTTTTGGCGCCCACCAAAATGAGCGTTCACGCTATGTCAGACGTCGCATGTCTGCCTACTGCACCCGCGCGACCATTCTCTGACGATGGTCTTCGTCGCCAAGCCCAACTCCATTTCCAAGCTTGTCCTGGGTTCATATCTGACTTCCATTCCCATATCTGGTCATCGGTGTTTTCCATGGTGTTGCTGAGAGCCTAGGCGTTTCTGACATGGGGCACGGATTATCGACGAGGTCGTTAATTATCAACTTAGCATGAGTGTGTGATATAGTAATACGTGGCATAATAGCGCTATGTTGTTTTTCCCGCCTCGCGCAATCGTCAACGTCTTCGTCACCATGGCCTCACCCACCTTGTCTCCCGTGTCATCGCCCACCTTGTCGCTAACGCGCGCCCCCCAAAGCGACCTCCCGTCGCCCTTCCTCTCTCCTTTCTGATTCCCCACCTCGTCGCCCTCGCGCTCGACCCGAATGGCCATCGCGTCCCTCCTAGTCCGCCAGGGCGCAAGCCCCAACCAGCTGGGTCGCGCACACGCGCGTTAGTTAGAAGCAAGCACGCGCGTGAATGCAGCCACTCACGCACACATAGGCAGCGCGCGAGCAGCTACAGCTACGCACGCAGCAGCAGCGCCCGCTGCGATCCGTCCCGCTCGCGACAGCAGCCACGCACGCACAGCTGCAGCAGAGCACACGCAGCAGGAACCACGATTGCAACTGTAACCGCGCACGCAACTGCAACCGCGCATGCAACAGCAACCGCGCACGCAGCAGCAACAGCGCACGCGCACAGCAACAACTACACGCGCAGAAGTCGTCGCACGCGCAGCAGCATCCGCACGCGCAGCAGCAACCGCATGCGGCACTGCCCCATGCACAACCGCGCACGCACAGCAGCAGCTGCGCATGCGTACAACTAGCCTAATTCTGAGACTCGACACCATTGCGCGCGCCTCGAATCACCCTCCCGTCGCATTTCCTCTCTCAACTCCCGTCGCCCTCGCGTCCCATCGCGTTCTTCCCTCCCACCCCGACATTGTCCCACAGGCCGATCCCCTCACCAACTCCTCTCCCTTGCCGTTGTTCTCACGATCGCGATTCCCTTCCCCTCTCGTCGTTTTTCCTCCAACCGCTCCCTCCCCGTCGTTTACCATTTCTCTCTTCCCAACCCGTTGTTTTTCATCTCTCCCTCCTCGCGTCTTTCTTCCTCTCTCCCCCCTCTCGTAGTTCTTCCTCTGTCCGCCCCCCTTCCGTCGTCTACCATTTCTCTCTCCACTCCGGTCCCGTAGTTCTTCATCTGTCCGCTCCCCTCCCACCGGTTTCCTCCCTCCCGACAATCCCCTCTCTTTCATCTTTCTTCATCTCTCTCCCCTCCAATCCCATTCATCTCCGCCGTCCCCCATGCTCTTACCCCATGACACCTAGTTACCCCTGTTCGCGTCACCTTTTCCATAGTCAATTCCCCCTCACATTCATTTTTCTCCACTCCCCTGTATTTCACCTCTCTCAGGCCCCAAATCCAAGGCAACACTTTCACCATTCGGCTAGCTCTCTATTCCTGCTCTTGTGGCATGTGTGTGTGTACTTCAAAATTTGCTTGTGCTGCTACTCTCCGACTTTTGTGAAGGTGCCACTATTCCAGTGAATGTAGCATTGCACGTCGCGCATCCTTGCACCAAATTCGCACATGTATGTGCGATAAGTTTACCACCAATCGACAGTGAACACCAATCGTTCCCCTTCCCGTTCACTTCGGGACTCATACTGAGTTGAAAAAAAAGACACAAAACACTTCCAACTTCTCCAAAAGTTTCCAAGTGACTAGATGATTCTAGTTGGACCCAACTAGAAGGGGGGGGTCACTATTTTAGCTACTGGTTTTAACTTGCAACCCGCCAGCAAGTTTGACGGAGCTCATAGTGAAATTGGGGAATTTAGAAACTCTGAAAATCATTAGAAAAAGCAGAGACGAAGCTGCCAGTGGTAAGGAAGATGGCAAGCCTGGGATGGAGAGTGCAGCAGCAGTAAGGAAGAGAAGATATGGACTCTGTTTTTCTTTTGGGAAGAAAGGGCATTAATCTGCACATTGCTTTGTGAACCAGAGCAGGAGCAACTTCAAGTGAGAAAGGCGGCATGAATCCAGGAATAAAGCTTGAAGGTTTGCACGGCATTGCAGAGAGTGTGAACGTGACATTTAAATATGGATTTCTAAAAGCAGAAGAGCAATGAGATGTTCCTCACTGATAGAGGTTCTGGATGAACAATGAACGTAGTATTCCAGTTCGAAAATGCGTGCAAAAGAAATTCAATAGAGGGTACACGGACAAACTCTTCCCTTTCCCTTCCCCTCATTCTGCGGGGAAAAACATTCCTCGATAGCACCATTCTCTATCCCCGCTTGGAATTACAGCGCACGACTTCCCTCGCGCAGCTCGGCATCTTCAAGGTGCCTCGGAATTCCACCTCCAGCCCGCATTGGCCACAGCCCTGCATTCTGCCACAGCGGCTGCGGACCTGAGCCACGAATCTGTCCTTCTCCCGCCAACGTCTCCTGACAAGATGATCTCCGTTCCGCTCTCATCAACACCTTCATGGAACTGACAATGGGGGTAGTCATTTCACCTCACATTTCCTCTCACAGATATTCGAGTAGTTTGGTTCCCGAATCCTACATTTTATTTTGCTTTGATCCAAAGCATTTCTTTCAGACAACAACAGAGTGCTTGCGTTTCCCAGTGGATCCGTCTTGACGCTTGTCCGGAATGTAACATTGAATCTTTGGAGGACGACTTAGTAAGAGCTTCGCTTCTGAGACTCGCTAACTCCACTTGGTAGCATCTACATTCGCTTTTTTTTTTTTACAGACTGCAGCACTTGTATCTTTCCGCATTCCTTTTCGTTCCAGGTTGGTGCAATGCCTGGCTAAATCGCTGATGGAAAAGGATAACGCGGCTGGTACTAGCAATGCTTCCCGTCATGGAGTTCACAACGCAATTCCGAGTTAACCCTAGTTGAAAATCAGTAACGGGGAGGACGAATCGGTGGTGTCTTGCTACTCGCGCTAGCTCTGACTGGTGCTTGAGCATTGTCTTGCATCATGGAGTTCACGATTCGATTCAGAGTGCCGGCTACTCTGCTGACGAACACGAAAGGTAGCAACGGCGACGCCACTTCGTTGACCAGCGGCACCAGTAGCAGCAGCATTACCAGCAGCAGCAACAGTAGCGGTAGTACCAACAATAACAGCAGCAGTCCTGATTCTGTCAACGAGCAAATAACGGCTACGGTCGTGCAGCCAGCAGCGGCTTCCCACATGGATTTTTCCATATCCGTTGATCCGCAGCAGCCGCTCCAATCCGCGTTCGACAGACTCTTCCAATCCCACCTGCCGCACTGCTGCCTGCCAAGTAAGCAGCAGGATAACGTAGATAAGGCCAGCGACCAAAAGGATTTGACGAAAATAGAGAAACAGGCTGTTCGATTTATGGCTCTCGGTCAAGTGGCGTACCTATCGCCTGAAGCATCAGCGGAGAAGGCCAAGCTTAAAGCGGGTACAGTGATCAAAGTGCTCCCAGTAAAATCAAGGGAGGGGGGGAAGGGAAAACCAGATTCGGCAGTTGCCGCCGGGGGTAGCAGCAGCAGCAGCAGTGGTGTTGCGAATCACACACCCGCCTCTGCGCCTGCTTCTGCTCCCCCTTCCGCTCCCGCCTCTGCGCCTGCCTCCGCGTCTGTCTCTGCGCCTGCTTCTGCGCCTGCCTCTGTGCCTGCCTCTGCGCGTGCCTGTCCTCCCGCCTCTGCGCCTGCTTCTACTCCCGCCTCCGCGCATGCGTCTGCGCCTATCTCCGCCCCTGTCTCCGCTCCGCCGGCCCCTACGCCCGCCACGAATGGCGGCCACAGCAGCGCCCTCACTAGCACCAGCAGGCGCGTCAGCAGCAGCCGTCGCATCCGACCGAGCATCACGAGCCCGCTAGGCTACTCACCAATCTCCCGCCCGCACATGGTACACCACGTCGACGTGAACCTCCCCTGGAACCACTCCCTCTGCGCCTGCTGCCTCTCGCGCATCCTCCACCCCGCCCCCCCCATCACCTACCAAACCTCCACCCTTAACGCCCTCCGCCTGCACCTGCAGCAGCCAGTGAGTGAGAAGATCAACCCCTGCCAAGCCAGCCACAACCGGCCGTCCCAGGCTATCCTTGCGTATTCCACCACGGTTAGAGTGCCGAGAACCTGGAGTATGACTGGTCCAGGTGTGGGGCGTGGGGGAAGCAGCCGCACTGCGCTTGCCTCTGCTGCTGCTCGTGGGGGTGGTGGCGGCGATGGCGGGGGAATTTCCAGGTTCGACGTTCCCTCAGGGTCTCCTGCCGTGCAGTTCAAGTGGAAGGCGGATTTCGCGCCCATGCCTGCAGCCGAGGGGATGCTCCTCGAGTGGATGGCAGAGCCACGTGTCGGGCTGCTGTGGGACCTGGATGTGGTCAGATGCCAGCTGGCACAAGCAGACATTATGGGGATTGGCGATCTGGCTGATGCAAGTGGCGCTGCTACAACCGCTGCTGCTACAGCCGCTCGTGCGACCACCTCACGTGCTTCCAACACCACTGGCGCTACAGCCGCTACAGCATCCAAGCACTTCTGGTGGTGCTGTTGGCAGTGCAGCGCGTGTTGGGCCGCCTACCGCCGCTGCCTCGCCATGGTGGTCTTCCTTGTGCTTTTAGCGAGGCTTCCCCGTGCAGTCACACTCTGGCGCCTGCACATGAGGTCATGCTACAATGTCTTCCCCGCCCTGGCGAATCTGCTGAACGTGGGGAGGCAGATCGAGGGGATGGGGGGCAGGCTGGCGGAGCGGCAGGCGAGTAGGCAGGCGGGGAAGGGGGGAGGGAAGCAGGCGAGTGGAAATGCGGAGGAGGATTGCTTTGGATCGATTCTGGTGCAGGTGCTTGGAGTGAAAGGGAAGAAGGAGCTGGAGTCGGGGTTTGCTGCTCATGTGCTGCCTCTTCTGCCGGGGGGGAGACGGGCGCATGGGGGGATGAGAGGGGGGGCGGGGAGTGGAGGAGGGGGAGGAGGACGACGAGGAGGGACTGGTTCAGTGAAAGGAGAGGAGTGGAGGGAGGGGTTGAGAGGGGTGGAGTGGGATGAGTATGTGGAGCAGATGGGGGAGATTATCTCCCATGGAGGGCTGGAGGCTGAGAAATACCGCTGCAGCTGCAGGCAGTGCGGAGGAGACAACGAGGGCGCAGGGGGGAGTGGGGATAGTGCTGCTGGTAATGGTGGTGGTACTGCGAGTGGCATGGTCATAACTGGCGTTGACCCGACAGACTTTTCTCTCCGGACTGCGTTCACACTCTGTATGCCACGCTTTGCCATCTACGGCGTTATGGCGTTTACCGGGGCATGCAGTAACAGGTACAAGGAGCGCGTGGAGGATGCTGCTGTGGAGGCAGCCAGGCAGCGGCTGGCGGAGAAAGCAGAGGGGGCGGAGAGGGCAGAGGAGTCTGGAAAGGGGAGTGTGGTGGGGGGGGGAGAAGCAATCATCACTGAGAATAAAGTGGGAGATCAAGAATCAGGGAGGCCAGCAGCAGCAGGAGAAGGAGCAGCAGTAGCAGAAGCAGCTTCATCCCCTTCTCCTTGTCCTGCTCCTCCTGCTCCACCTTCTCGCCCTCCTGCTGCTGCTGCGACCAGTGCAGCAAGCAGTGCTGCCCGCCTCGTGCCAGTCATCAGTGACTCAGCAGAGGCACTCTTCACGTACTGAGCCGCCTGTATCCTTCAATGGATGCGCGTTCAAGGCCCCTGGCTCAACCCCCCCAGCTACTGCACCCGCACCAACCCGGAAGCCCCAGCCCTGGCGCTCCCGCACCCGGCGCACGATCTCCCGAGCCTGCTGGTCAGGTTCGGCGCCATCCCCAAGCCTGCGGGCACGGCAGGTTCGGAGGCTTGTGGAGGAGGAGTTTCGGGGTGGGAGGAGTTCCCAGTGGGGGACAGAGACGCCCTGAAGGCGCATGGCCGTGGTAGTGCCCTGGGAGGCAGGGAAGGGGTAGGAGGGGTAGAAAAGGGTACTGCAGGGTTGGTGAATGGAGAGTTTTTGGGAGTGAATACTTTCCAGACAGGCAGTTTCCGGGACTCTGTGTTGGACCGAGATGAGATGCTGAAAGAATTCAATGTGGGGGCAGCACAGGGTCTGCAGGAGAATGGGGCAGTGAGAAGCGCGGCCACCACAAGCGCAGCAGAGGGCCTGCAGGAGTATCGAGCTGCCAGGGCTCTGAGTGACAGCAGCATGGACACTCCCGCGTTTCCGACCCTTGCAGACCGCGTCGAGGAGTTTCTGAGAAGGTTCTCGCCGAAGCGGCTGGCAAAGGAGGGGCGTGGTGGGCCGCTGGCACGAGCGATCACAGACTGGGTGCTGCGACTCAACCTGACAGCTGCAGAGACAACAAACACCAGCAGCAGCGGTGGAAGTAGCAGCAGCAGCGCTAGCAGGGTGGCAAAGGGAGAGAAAAGGGACATGAGCTGGGCGGCACTGGCCCTGGGGGCGTATTCCCCAGGCAAGTTAAAGCCCATGCTGAGATCCCCTCAGGAGGTGGACGCTTTTCTAGAGTTCATGGTGGGCATGACCACCCTCACGCCCGCCTGCAACTGCTGCATGCATTGTCTCAACGTGTTCAACCGGTCGGTTACCCCTGCCGCCATTGTTGCCTCCTTCGCATTTCGCCCCTCCTCGGTGCTTCTGCGCTGCTTCCTCTCGGTCTACTGCAGGCATGCCTCTCAGGTGAGAGTTCTCCCAGACAGATGGACATGGCTGGTACACCATCTAGGTGAATGTATAAGCCATGTAGCTAGGTTGAATGTCCGTGGTTGGTGGTTGGTTCTGCGCTCATCCTCTTGCTCTACCTCACTCGCTCCCTATGCCCGCACCCCTCTCAGAGGAGAGAGCTTCTAGACACGCTCGGAATCCCTGGCGGACCTGGTCTCTGCTTGGCTTGTAGCTTGTCCTTTCTGTCTATTTGCTATACATCTTTACCCTTCTCCTCTGTCCTTATTGCTCGCTCTCTCGATGCCCACACCCCCCTCAGAGAAGGGAGCTCCTGGATACGCTCGGCATCCGCCACTACCTGACCTGCTCCCAAACCGGCTCGTGGCTCCTCAGATGAACGAGCTTCTAGACACGCTCGGTATCCTGCCCCTGCCGGTCCTGGCTGGTCCCAGACCGCCTCGTGGCTGCTCTTCTCGAAGGCATGGTGGAGCGCAAGTGCCTGCACTTCCTCTACACAGCAGCATGTGTTGTTGTCTTTTGAAGGCGGCTTGAAGGATATATTGCCCCCCTGTCCGTCTCCTCTGTCCTTCTCCCCTCTCTCTCCCTCTCCCTCTCCCTCTACCACCCACACCCTCCTCAGAGAAGGGAGCTCCTGGACACGCTCGGGATCCCCCCCTTGCCGGACCTGCTCCCGGACCGGCTCGTGGCTCCTCTTCTGGAAGGCGTGGTGGAGCACAAGCGCCTGCACTTCCTCTACACCGCAGCCATGCTGCTCTACCAGTACAACGGCGAGATGCAGATAATGGAAATGTCCAAACCAGATGGAGCACTGAGGACGGAAGAGGAGCTGAGGCAGTTAGTGGGGAGCGGGTGGGAGGGGAAGGAGGAGTGGCTGATCTGGGAGGAGGTGGACACGTGGCGGAATGCGCTGTTTCGATCGTGGCCTGTTTTTGAGCTTTCGCGTGAGGCGGCGCTTAGCTGGGCGTGGACTGGGGAGGAGGAGAGGGCGAGGGACTGGTGTGTGGAGATCAGGCAGAAGGAGAGGGCGTGTGAGAAGATTAGTAGGTGGAAGGAGGGGGTTCTGGTGGAGAAAATGCATGCTGCTGCTGCTGCTGCTGCTGCTGCTGCTGGGGATGGTACTGCTGCTGGTGGTGGTTCTGCTGTTGCTGGGGGTGGGAGTGAGGTGGGAGGCGGGCTGAAAGTTGCGCCAGCATACCTGGTGCCGTGGGTGGGGGGAGTGAACCCGTTTGCATGCCTGCGGGAGATGCTGCTGGGGGAGACGTGCTACTGGGAGCTCTCAAATGGGCGGCGAGTCGGGCTTGGGGTGACACCCAGGGCAGGCTCTTCCACTGCTGTCCCTGCTGCATCAGGCACAAGAGCAGCAGCAGCTGCTGCTGCTGCAACAGGAGGAACAGGAAGTGGAGCAGTGGCAGCAGGGGGGGTACGTTGCTGCTCTTACCCGGGTTGTGGCCAGGCGAAGGGGCTGGGGAGACCCCCCCTGAAGGCTTGCTCGCGGTGCGGCCAGGCTGCTTACTGTGACAGGGACTGCCAAAAGGCCCACTGGAAAGTGCACAAGCTGCAGTGCCAGCCCAAGTGATAGCCAGGCTGCCAGAACCGTAAGCATTCTCAACTGTCGCAGGCATGCTTGCGGTGCGACCTGCCAGAAGGCCCACTGGAGAGTGCACAAGCTGCAGTGCCAGCCCAAGTGATAGCCAGGCTGCCAGAATGTTGGGGAAGCATTCTGAACCGTTGCAGGCATGCTTACAGTGCGGCCAGGCTGCCTGCTGTGACAGGGATTGCGCGCGCGCCCAGTGGAAGGTGCACAAGCTGCAGATCCAGCCCAAGGGGGGAGGAGGAGTGAGAAGGCTTGCTTGTGGTGTGTATGACCTGGTTGCCTACTTAAGACAGGGACTGCCAGCAGATAAGCTGCAGTGCCATCCAGTGGGTTGAAGAAGATGGGTTCAACACGTGGCAAATCAGAAATGTGGATGGTGCTCTAGGCGGCCAGAGGACAGGTCAGGAGTGGGGGGGGGAAGGAAGGAGATGCGGGAGGGAGGGGGGAGGGAGAGGGGTTTGACTCTGCAACAGGGACTGCCTGTTGCCACATCTTGGCTTGTAACAGAACTTGCTAACCTTGAAAGTCCAATAAAGTATACGACAAGAGCTAAAGAGGGACAAGCAGTAGTGAATGGGATAATTTCAATTCTATCCGTGCAGAAATGTGCTATTGTGTATGAGGTATACATTTTTGCACCAGAGTACACTCTACAGTCCAGCTTGCAGCCTTCGGTTGAGATGTGAGTGATGAATATTACGGACTTCGGTGGACCGATTCGGTGACTGGCGGACTTCAGTGTCGTACGGTATCTTGAGAGTCCGGTTCCGGTCGGTCCAGCATGAGTGCCAGTTGATTCCGTCTGAGTCGGTGGAGTGTGAGCTCTGGTTCCTTTCCCTTGTGTTGTACAATAAAGATTATACGGAGCGCGAATTGCTTGATCTCGTCGCTAGCGCAAGGTTCTACGGTTCAAGCTTGAACGGAACCGGAAATGCCCTTTCAGTAACGCATTTCCTGGTGGTTGCGTGTGCCGCACGTTACGTGAGGCCCTTGGGCATTCCGAATGGATGAATGTTCGTATTTCAGGACGCATTTGATCCACTTTAGCCACCCCCTGTCGATTATATCACAGCAGCTTACAACCTCTAGGTTCTTTATTCCCATTCATCCAAATCATCGCTCAAGCTCGTAGTTTACTGAAAGTCCCGGCCAGCAGGCGCCACATACGGGAACCACCTGTCAGAGGTCCACTGGTGATCCCCGATTGATCCTAGGGAAGGGTTACAGGCATGGCGGCCTGGGGGGTTATGGGCGCACTCACCCGCTACACAAACAAGCCCTTTTATCCCAGTGGTTAGTGGCTGGGATTCTGACATGGTATCAGAGCGAAGGTCTCGGGTTCGAATCCCGGTGTGTGCACCTCGGGCATCCCAGTGCGGGGGGGTGTCAGAGGTCCACTGGTGATCCCCGATTGATCCTAGGGAAGGGTTATAGGTGTCAGTAATAACGGACTGGAATGATGAACTAGCAAGAATTGTGAGTACAAATATGAAACCCTAATGTTGTGACCCCCCTATAGGCTAACCCACTACAGCCTACACAAATACAACATGTATAATGTTTGACACACCCCCATAGGCAAAGTGGGGGAGACCTAGGGGTCACAAGATCAGTCAAGGCAAAGCAAGGCAACAACAAGCTCAGGGTGGATCTCAAGGATTCCACACAAATTCCGAGCACAAGCTAGTGGTCACAAGACCAGTTCACATGCAGGTTTATAACAGAGCAAGAGATACAGTGATCACAACCTAGCAAGAGTAAACATGCAGGTATAGATATATATAGTGATCACAGTACAAGCAAGTCAAGAGGTAAGTAAGTGAGGTCCAGTAGGCACAAGGCCTAGTAGAGTGCAGAAGCGCTGATGGTCACGAGGCTGAAGCGCCTTGGTGAACACATCAGCAGTGTTGGCCTCAGTGGCCACGTAGCGAATACAAAGCTGACCGCGCTGCTGCAGCTCACGAGCAAGGAAGTACCGCAGGGCGATGTGCTTCGTTCTGTGCTCCAGTCTGTGCTCCTCACACAAGGCAATGGCAGCCTTGTTGTCGACGTACAGTACTGGAGGAGAACGAGGCGGCTCTCCGAGGTCGGTCAGCAGGTAGGTCAGCCAGCGTAGCTCCTGGGCAGCCATGGCTGTAGCGTAGATCTCAGCCTCGCAACTGGAGCCGAGAACAGAGGAAGAGCGTGTAGAGCGCCAAGAAACTGAGCCAGAGCCAAGGCTGAAGGTGTAACCCTGAGACGACCGCTGAGTGGCCTGGTCGTCTGCCCAAGAAGCGTCTGAGTGCCCTGTGAGAACAACTCGGTCTCGCCCTCCAAGCACAAGCCCCATGCCCGACGTACTGCACAAGTAGCGCAACACCCTCTTAGCGGCATCCATGTGCTCCTTCCTGTGACGGCCAGGAGCGACATAGCGTGCAAGGATGCTAAGAGGGTATGCAAGGTCAGGTCGAGTGCAGGTCATCAGGTACATGAGGCAGCCCACAAGCTCTGGATACGGGCCACTCGGCTCTACGGACTCATCCGAAGGCTGAGCTGAGAGCGAGTGACCGGTAGGCAGAGGAGTGGACTGAGGCGAGGAGTACGTGAAGCCGAAGCGCTGGAGAACCTGCTGCACCATGTGTGACTGAGTCAGGGTGATGGTGCGGCGTGCTCTGTCCCGGGTGATCCGCAAGCCAAGATAGCTTGTCAGCTCACCCAGGTCTGTGCACGTGTGTCTCCTCTGCAGCTCCGACTTCACGTGGGCGAGTCCTGCAGTGTCAGCAGTGGCAAAGACCAAGTCGTCGACGTACACGAGGATGTAGAACGGCGGCAGCGAAGTGTCGGTGCGCAGGAACAGCGACGGGTCAGCTGTAGAAGGCGCGAACCCAAGAGCCGCAAGTGTAGTCCTCAGTGTGTCGTGCCACTCACGCGGAGCCTGGCGGAGACCGTAGACCGGCCGCTGAAGCCTCCACTGGGTACCAGGAGGAAACGACCCAGTGAAGCCAGGTGGGCGGCGCAGCCAGATCTCCTCGTGCAGGCTGCCCTGCAAGAAAGCAGTGCTGAAGTCAAGTGAGTGAAGCTCGTAGTTGCGGTGAGCGGCTATGTGCAGCAGCACCCGAAGAGTGGTCATCTTCGGGGTGGGGGAGAAGGTCTGGAAGAAGTCAACTCCCTCTCGCTGACTGAAGCCTCGAGCCACGTAACGCGCCTTGAAGACAGGCGGAGAACTCGGCGGCCGCTTCACCCTGAAAATCCACATGCCACTGACGATGTTCGCCCCAGGAGGGGGAACCTCGTCGACGTAGGTGCGTGTGGACTTCCAGGAAGCCATCTCGGCGTCCATGGCTGTCTGCCACTGAGAGGAGTAGGGACCCGCCATCGCCTCAGCGTAAGTGCGCGGGGTCGGGATGTCTGGTGCATCCGGGTCTCCCTCAGGGGCAACTAGCAGGGACACGAGACGGGGCAAAGCAGCAG